AGGAAGAAGAAGTCGCGTAAATAAATTGTCCCGGACGAATTGCCCTCGCGTACGTGCGCTGGAAAGGGCTGCGGCTCGTCCGCGCGAGTTATCGCCAGAAGTACCGGCGGTCGTAAAAAGCGCCGCTCGCATATTGTTACGCGGACAATCGGAGTCGGAGTCGTGCGTTTTCACAAGATTGCACTCGACGCGCTGCAATTATTTTTGCAGCCGACGTAATGCGACACGAGTGCCGCCGGTGAGAAGCCTGGTATAAATTGCTTCTGTGCATGAAATACGAGAATGTCACCTTACGTTTCAATGATAAATCCACCAGCGCAATATTAACGATACGACGTCAGGCGATCTGACGTAGTAGCGGCAAGGGTTCGTCGACTCTCGACGTTGCGACGATCGCGTTTCTTTTGGGCGTCGGTTACGTCTCCGTCTCCGCGTTATTAAAAGACGAGTTGGCGAGAGAGCGTCGACTTGAACGACGATCCTCCATTATGCGGCGTCGACAATGAGATCTTTAAGGCCCGGTTTCACCAGACGTCGCTTAACTTTGAGCTTAGCTTAATTCATTCTACGTCTCTTTCCAACTGTTAATCTAGAAAGAGACAACCATGAATTGAGCTAAGAGTAAAGTTAAGCGACGCTTGGCGAAAGCGGGCCTGAGACGTCTTAAAGGCGTGTTTAAAAGTCTCATTGTAGGCGCCGCGTTGCGGGGCGACGTAAGCGCGGTAGCAAAAGCAAATGCGACATCGATTGTACGACGGTAACTGGATATTTCGTTCCGATCGCATCGCGCGCGGCCTTCCCAAACGCACGCGAGCCCGCACGTGTGCGAGACGATACGGCGAGAGTGTCGACCTTGCACTGGCCTCGGCCGAAAGAAGAGAGAAGGAAAAGAAACAGAAAGACCGAAAAGAGTAGCGTGCGGTCTCTCCGCGCGAGATCTTGCGGTCCACGAGAATCCTGTTACACCGGTATTTCCATGCTGCACCGGAGTGCACTCGCGCCGGAGCCGTTCACGGTCCCCTTTTGTCCGCGTCTCGCTGCATTATGACCGCTGCACCGCGAGGCGACGGTGACGAAATACGGGGTGTTTCGAAAATGAAACGATTACCTGTCCGATTTAGCTTTGTCGCGGGCTACGTACGTAAACGGGGAATACAAAGTTATTAATGGGAAGCGGATTTCAAACTTCGAATCGATAGTCACGTCACAGTATACCGGGGATGCCCACTCTCTGTCGGTCCTGTGATCTTTTCGGTTTCGATCACGTGGTATTCCGCCATTACTTTGGTATGAAATCCCTTCACACCTGTCACACTACCGCGTATACAACATCCGTCTCATTGGCCGCGCCAAAATAATATTATGTCTATGGAGTGGGCATACTAGTTACACTATGGTCAGGTCTCTGTTCCACCGGGACTTCCCCCGCGACCGGCTCGCTCCATTTCCCAATCTCGAAATTGTCGAACAGCAGACACGTCTTCGTTAAACTCCGATCGCTCTTTACGGAGTTTTATATAAGAGAATCAATTTTCAAAAAATGCTCTCACCATCCCCCTACACTTGGAACGTTCCTCCCGACCGCAAACCAATCGAGAGATTTCTTTTCCCGACCTCCGTCTCGAAACATTCGCTCGGACGGACCGAAATGCAACACCTCGACCACTTTCAGCGTATCGACGTGGCTCGGGTTTCAGACGTCGGGGCTAGCTCGTCTGGGCTTTGCGGGCGGAACCTGGTCTCTCGAATCCCACCCGTCGCGGATCATCACGTGCCTTCTACTCGCAAGACGATACGTGTTCGCGTCGGTCTCCCAAGTTTTACCCGCGGTTCGCAACGGGATTGCATTCGAGGCCCCTTTCAGAAATTTTCCAGAGGGCCGCGACGAACGGTACCTTTTTCTTTTTTCCCCCGTGATAACAGCCGATTTAATAGTGAAATTACGTCGCAGGATGCTATTCGAAATAGCGGAGGGATATTGTCCGCGGCATAAAAATTGTATCAGTGGCCACAATTTAAACGTGATTTGAGGGCGACGCGGGGAGACAATTGCGACAGCCCAAAACTAACTTCCGGCACCATTTATTGCCCGCTGGCACGAACGCGGGCACAAATATTTTCCATGTGGATACACTGCAACGTGCATGGTGTCGGGAATTTTTAGTAGCCAGACAGACACGCGTCAGTGTCGCGGAATATGCATGAGCGAGTAACGGCGATATTCGCGGTATCCATCAAACGTTCTGCAAATAGATTACCACGTATTCTAGGTATTCCTATTGTCTACCAGTTTTCATTGGCGAGTTAATTTCAAATTATAATTGAATTGCAAAATCGATCTGTCAGCGTGCCAGACGGATGCACTGATCGATGCCTGATCACAGACGGACTGTGAGATAAATGAATATATGTATATATAACAAAAAAAAAGGAGATAAGGTTCATCATTTTCGCGACGACAAATCCTGGAAAACGACAAGAAACGTTGGACTAATTAATGAGAAAATTAATTTCCCGTGCTAACGCGGGATACAGCGTGCAAAAAAGAAACCGCGCGTTCTTATCCCCGTGATAAGTACTGGAAAAAAAAGAAGAACGGCGAGAATGTGCCGGATTAATTCTCAATCAGGAAATTAATTTTCGATTCTATCGCGGGATTTATGAAAAATCCAATTTCCTCGAGGTAATATTGAATCGAGGACACATGTAATTTCCGTCATTCCCGCGCGGATATTTATAGACTCTAAGGGCCTGAGCAGAATGGCTGTCTTGTGCTCTTAGGACAGTGTTTTATGCTTTAAATCTTTGTCTCAAGCCCGGTCTGCGATGTGACTTAAGAATACAAGACAGCCATTTTGTTCAGGCCCTAAGAATTAGACATTCCACGATGCGGTAGTCGCGCGAGCGTCTTCACCCCCGAGATAATGAGGTACTCCATGCTTTCCTGGATACTCCCGACGCGCAATTCCCCGCCCTTTTTCTCTTTCTCCCTAGATATCGTCCGTTTTTCCCCGGACCGTTGCCAATCGGCTTAGCAGCTGAATTAAGCCGCGCTACGAAACGCCCAGTAAAATATTAAAACGTTAGTTATATTAATCTCTGGCAAGTTCTTGAACCTTCGCGAGTTCGCGTCTTTCATTATTAAAGGTTTTCAACAACCCGGTGATATCCGACAAACTTTCGATATTAAAATACTTGAATATCCGGGGATCAAACGGGGATATATTGAACCTTCTAATCTTCAGAATCCTTAATTTCTACGGGGCGTCAGTTATGCGCAGCTGCAAATGTTTTCGACGACTCAACGTTTGACACCGATCGGCAGTATCGTAAATCTGGGCGGTCGAGATGCGTTCGTGAAATATCTGTGCTCGCGTGTCTCCTGCACAATTGACTATAAATTCCAGGCGCGGTACAAGTAGATATACTCGGGGAAATCGCTCTTCAATTCATCCCTTATATCCGGGGCGATATCCGTAACAGCCGGCTGCAGTTGCTGTCTCTCGCGGCGATCTGGAATCCATTCTCCAAATCGTACTACAGGGACAGTTCTTGAGAGGCCTTCCGACTCGCCGAAGAGATTACGGGGAGTCGTCCCGCACTCCAGCTCCTACTATCGGACCAAGTTCTGTTTTACTCGACCCTCGGGGGAGAAGATACCCGCGCGACCACCACGCCGGACGCAATCGGAATTTATACACGGAAAAAATACTGTTCAATTAAAAAAAAATGAAGTTGCTTGAATTAAACGTTAACGTCACGGGCTGCGTGGTTTTCTATGGATTTAAATTTTGAGCATTAAACTAAATATCCAGATTATTAAGACAACCATCTCACGTTTTTCATCCGTTAATACTGATGTTGTTTCAACGATTTTATTTCAATTGCACTGATCTCGTTGGTACAACATCATTTTTTCCCGTGTATCGATCACGTAGGCTATAATTGCCGATTATAATCGACTCGTAATAAAAAGTGTATCAAGTGAGATACTCAAAACAAGGTTTCACATTGAGATACGTACATTGTAACAATCGCATTTGCATCAATCGAGCGCGTACATGAATATCACTGAAATGCGAAATGGTTATCCTCTTATCTGAAAACTTGACCCCGTTAAAATATCGTTCGTACATTGTATTATAATCCGCAATATTACGTGGCGATGAAGTACTTATTGGATCCCACGATAATACAGACGTTTCCCATTTCGAGCGATGCAAATGTTCAATTGTGAAAAAAGAAAGCGAATAGGCTACAAATTAGAATGCTATGACGTAAAAGTCTACCAAACTGTATCGTGCCATCAAGACTGGATCAAGTCGAGTTATTCACGCCGCAAAAATATAATCATATAAATACAGGCGTACGCGAAAACTTCCCGGTTGTCTCGGCGATGCAAGCTCGTAAATGCGGATCGATATACTCGCCACCCCTTTCTGCCCTTTTCAGAACTGCGCGGCGAGAAAGTATTCCCTGAATCGCGGCTTTCTGGGCCGGTTCCAAGGAAACTCTCAACTTGGAAGTTGGCGTTCGTATTCTACGTCCCGCCGCCGGAATGCTCCCGATTTCGCGGCGCTCTTCCTCCTTTTATACGTCCGATAAAGTACCGCGTAACTACCGACCGGCAGCGGAGAGATAACGATCCGAAACTGAATAGTTCCCATCGCTCGCAGCGGCGCTAAAATACGGTTTATACAACGCAGTTCCCACTCGTAAAAAGAAAGAAAAACCAGAGACGACCTGTTTCAGACGTGGTCTCCGTCTCTGCCGTGTACCATATATCCCTTCATCTATCAACAACACTTCTAGAGCCATGCAGTCGCTCTTGTACGCCTAAAGACTTGTTCATGAATTATTCGCTACCATCTTTTTTGTATTTTTCTTTTCTTTTTTGAAGAGACCTTTTCAGGCTCTCGACAAACGTCTCGTTCGAGAGGGCTTCATCCGAAACTGAGCGGGACGTCTCTTCGGAAAGCCTTCGGGAATTTTGGACTCACCGAGGGAGTGGCACTTCTGTGGGTCGCCGGTCTGGGATGCGGCAAGGATGTGTTCTTAGTATTAGCCGGACCGCCGTTGCAAGGCCTCTGCTGGCCGCTGTCGCGTCGGGAGGGCGGCGGGGGCGGCGGCAGCGACAGGGGTCTGCCGCCGCTCCTCGGATGCTGCGGCGCGGCCTGGAATTGGGTCCAGGACTGACGCGGCAGATATCCCGTCGTCACATAGCCGCCCGATATGAACTGCACCGAGCCGTTGAGATGCGGCGGCGTCATTACCGCCGTTTGCTGCGCCGTTTGCCCGCCGTTTCGCATCTCTCGCACGCTGCTGCTGGGCTCGTCCTTGATTCTCAGCGCGTCGCCGCTGCTGCAGATGACACCGATGCTGATTGCTCGCGAGAGGAAACTACGTCAGCGCGCTGCACGTCCAATCGCGATGGTCCTTGGCACAACGCGCGCACCTCTCATCGTCGAACCGCACGCACATTTGTGTCTCGTCGCTGAAATAGTTTCTTTTTGTTTAACTTCCCCGAGAGATCCCGATTCGCGGACGCTTTTACGAAATGTGTCCCTCGGAGCTCTTCAATTTTATTTCATTTATCTGTAATTGTAGAAACGTTTTAAGAGATCGCCCAGAATACGTAAATTCACTTTGATCTCTCATAATCCGAATGAAAATTTTACGACAACACGTTTAGTGGATCTGCGTTTAGAGTGGCATCTTAATTCGCACGAATCTCTCTTTCTGAGAAGATATTGAAACGTTTGCGCGTCGACAGACGCATATACAATATAAAATCGCTTCCATTGTAATTGGCAGACGCTCGCAAGCGAGGCTGCAGTTCCGTTAGCCCTTTCTTTTCTCTTTGCGCTTCCTATCGCCGTTCCGTCGTCCTTCGCTATATAGCGCTAAACTACCGGGGCAGAACAAAGTGTCGGTAAAGGACAAGGCTGTATCAGCAAAAAGCTCCAAGAAGAGTTCGACAAAAATGTAGCAGTGCAAAAAGGGCATCCAATGCAAGAGAGAGAAATCGAGCAGTCGTCCTCATCGTTCTGCGGCTTTTTCCGCGAGCGAAGCTCCGGAACGCGGGCCGCTCTCGAGAGCCTCTTCGTGAACGAAATCGATTTCACGGACGTTTTCGAGAGTTCGAGCAACACGGCCGATGTTAACGGAACAAGAAGCGTACCACCGTCCTCCTGCCATTTTTATCGCTGGCGGTGCAAGAGCGTTTCGCTTGATTGCAAAAAAAAATATACATATAAAGACGCGGGCAGCTGTAAAACTCTCGTATCTTTGGCGAGGTTTAGCGCAAAATCATGTCGCGAACCACGGAACGAACTGCACTCAACTAAACATCACCGTAACTCGGCCTGGATTGCTCGGCGCCTAAGATGTCGCAATCGGATTAACCGGCGTCGCGAGGAAGTGTTACAAGTTCAGTGCCAAACGCAAGACGCTCGCCCTCGTAAAAATAGAAAACGCCAATCGCGTCAATAATCTGGGTCAATCCGGGCAAGTGGGGGAGGGGGGGGGAGGAAGTTAAGACTGATTGGGGGCGATCAGATTAAATTTTGGGCTTTGCGACGGCACGTGGCCGGGGTATCGATTGGCAAAGAGTCGCGCCGGAAGAATTCTCGGTCGCAATAAGAATACATTATGCGGGCCCAGTTCTGGCATATCTACTTCTCGTAAGAGAAGATTAAAAAAAACCCCAAGACAAAGAAAGAACGATAGAAAGAAAACGGAACGAGTCTGGCCCGTCGAAAGCCCACGGAAGAAGATATCTTATCCTTGAATCTTTAATCGTATCTTTAGATCTCGTATTTTCTCTCTTTGGCTCGAGGGTCATTATTCATATTCATATTGGCGAGCGCTTCGTAATCCTTCGCATCAGTGCACGAGAGAGAGAGAGAGAGGGGGGGGGGGGAAGAGGAGATCAGCGGCGACAAAGGGAGTAAATGGATCGTTTGGCCGATATATCGATCGCGAGGAGAGAAAACAGACGGCTATCGTGACTCGTTTCTCGCAATCGCAGCGCGATTCGACATGCTCGAATAATTTTCAGGATGGCAGCTTCCGCCGGAAAGTCCGCGCCATCACCCTAGAAGATCAGGTTCACTGCACTATCGATACCCGGTGCCGCTTGCGCGGCATTAAATCGCCGAGTTGGACGGTGATTAACTTGCGGCCGGCGCAGATACTCTCGAACAAGCGGAAGCGAGACCGGCCGCGGCACGGCCTTTCCGCTTTATAACCGCGGGAATGTCTAGAAATTCGCTCCGCGCTCTTCATTCACTCTTTTTCACGCTTTTTTAATCACGCTTATGACACGCGTAACACACATCCGCGCCAGCCAGAAGTTTCACAACAAATCTTACATAAATGCATCGCGCGCTCGACACACAGATATCCATTTTATCGCCGTTAAATGCTCGTCTGGACTCTGGAGTGTCCCGCGGTTATCGAACCTCGGAGCGCTAGAGAATTCAAGCTACCGTCACAAACGTAGCGATCAAATCTTCCAAGTTTTCTGTACGATTTTTCTTTAAAAAGATACGATTGTAGTGCGCGGGATTATTTAGACACCCCGTGTAAAATGGGATCGGTACTCCGGGGGGGAAAAAATGACAGCAACCCATTTTGGGGCCCGCAATTAGTAATCGAATTATTTGGATTGTTCGTAACTCTAATCTTTTACGAATCTTACCCCGCGTAACTAAAACTCGCAACTAGCTATTCTATTTACATCCAAGATTTTTAAGTAGTACTAATCAGGTCTCTCAATTAGTTCTGTCGATATTCGGTAACGCAAAGATAATTTTCACTTAAGAGTTGCACTAACCGAAATGTTGTGTTACTTAACTAAAAAAAGAACAGTCAAAATTGTTCCCAATCCAGATAATTCGATTACTAATTGTGAGCCCCAAAATGTGTTGCTGTCTTTTTGTCCCAGAGTACATGCGCGGAAAAAAGGGGGGATTAGGCCCAAGACGTAGCTAACGATAGGGCCCGATCTCGCACTCTTGGGACAGACTTAAGACAATGTTTTATATTTTAAGCCTTTGTCTTGAGGTAACGCACAATAACTGTCTTACGTCTGAAGAGTACGAGACAGCCATTCTGCTCAGGCCCATAGTCGCTGTAAGACGGAGCGCGGGTCAACATCTCTGTATTATATCTACAGTAATAAAGTGGAGTTTCAGTGAGAATCATAACCGAGTGCCACACGATGTATGACGTTCATATTTGTTTTATTTAAATAAAGCTTTATACGCGCTCAGGTGTACGCTCTGTTTTTAATTGAACTCGGAATTGGATTGCAACGCGCGGCATGAATTTGTCGATTTGTGTCACCTGTACGACGGCGCCGTAAACACCGGCTATTTGAAACAAAACGCGAACCGCCCGGCGTTTCGCGAAGGATGAATCGCTTGAAATGCGATAACGTATTGTTTCCACTTTGCCCGTTTCCAAGTAGACTCTCGTTTTCGGTCACCGTCGTGAAACCTGGCCTTTGTCCTCGCCGCGGCCAGTGAAAACGTGGGAACACGCGTACGCCAGGTACAAAGGAAGGATACGTTACGTCGCGCGGGGAAGCGGGCATAATTGTACCATTCGCGTCTCGCCACTGTTTCTCTCGGATCAAACGTTGATGGATATTCCCCTGCCGGAATTACCGCGCTTACACGCCGACGCTAAGATTCCTTTGTGTTCGCACTCGCGCGGGATTGATCGCGCACAGCCAAGTCTATAAAAACAGCCGATTCACGGTGAACCAGATTGAAAAGTTTCGCGGATGAATTATGCCAACGTGATTAATTACGCTGCGTGTATATAGAAGGTAACTCGAGGGACCAAAATCATTCTCCGGCTATGCACCCTCAGAAAGGATTCATGAGGCAAAACATATCCTTCACGCATTTATATTTCTCACCTCATTTAGTATAAAAATAAGACGATATCAAAATAAAATCTATAATTCTTATTCTCCTCCATCGAATGAAAAAAGATTGGCTTGCTAAATTGAGACAAGAGTAACTTTATATATTCTTGCGTTTAGAATAAATTTTCCCTCCATCTTACAACGCACAAAGTTGGCACCGCGATATTTGACAAAAGACTACCCTTTTATTCTAGATTTTAGAATTTTTCACGTAAAATTAAAAAATATTCCTTTCTCTATAATAAATACGATTGACGCTATATCGATCCTATTTTATGATACATTCAAGTGTAATAGCATTGGATCCGGAAATTTGTTCTGCGGGTGTGGATCCTCCGATAACCCGCGATTCTCCCTCGCGAAAAATTAAAGCCCGAAAAAAATAAATGAACAAACAAACAACGCATGGAAGGTGGACTCGACAGGTCTGGAACGCTCGCTGTTGACGATACTAACGCGTGGCGTTGTACATACGTCTGGAGGGTCAATCACCGTTAGACGATAACCGAGAGTCGGAGTAGCAGGCGCGACGATTTTTCGAAATGCACACGCACACGCGTGCCCATCCATGCCGCGTGCGCGTGCGTACACGTCTCGCGATTACGCGCGCGCACGACACACGCACACGTTCCCCAGGTTGTCCGTTATTCCGGAATAATTGGGACTCCCGGCTACCTGCACGTGCGCCAGCGACGACGAGCGGCACGACGCACTTTCCTAAGCGCGACGGCACGCCGGCTTGGCATTCGTTACGCCGCTGTCGTTAATTGTTAATCGTGACGCGTAGGCGGATACGAAAGCGCGCTTTATTAGGCCCGCCATACGCCGTGGGACCGTCAACTCTGCGCCATCTTCTTATGGCGCGTATCGCCGGAAAAGGGATCGCGTCGCGAAAAAGGCGCTGCGCGTTTTCGCACAAGCCGCGCCGAACACAATGACAAGATTGACACAACGCGGGGAGCTCGAATTTTACGCTACTGGCTTTGGAAATGTGTAATGTCAGCTTTCTCCAATAAACTTCTTATTAACTGAATTATAATTAGTACTCAAAATTCCTAAACCGTCTCGTTACTAGATCGCGGAAGTGCGATGTTATTGCTTCTTCTTCTAAAGCCACCGACACACGATACTATTTTTCGATACAGAGTTTTAGATCAGGTGACTTAAGGCTAAATCGTGATTGGCTCTCGTAAGCAATCCAGTAGGCAAAATAGTATCGTGTGCCGTTGGCTTAAAACTCTGCGTCCTTATTGGTTCTCGTGAGCAAACCAGTAGGAAAGGTAGTACCGTGCCGCCGTTGTCTTAATTCGCCACGGGTTAAATAGTGACTTGTTCAAAACAAGTAAATTTTGCATCGATAAAAATCGTAATATTTTCCATCGACGAGCTTAGACGAGGTACGTTGATATGAAATTAAGGGAATTAAGGGAAAAGTATGGGACGCGAAGTGGCTTTTTGTGCTGCGCTATGGTGGATTAGAAGTGACGTAACAGCACTGTTTAAACAATATGGACAAAGCAAGAAATGCGGATTACCGTTAGATAAAGTGCATAGGAGAAGCGAGTGTATTTCAGATTCGTGCGCTGAACGAAGCAGAAGTCAGTAACCGATATTTCTTTTATTATTTAATACCTGCACGCGCGCACAAGTGTAATAT